ATCAGTGAGATCATATGATACATGTCTTTCTCTGTTTGACTTATTTCACTCAACATAATATCCTCCAGTTCCATCCACGTCGTTGCAAATGGCAACATCTCATTCCTTTTGATGGCTGCATAATATTCCATTGTATATATACCACATCTTCTTTATCCATTCATCTGTGGATGGACGAGATAATGCCCTTTTGACCAACTTGTGGTAGGTTTTCAGTGAAGTCCCTAGCATAGAGCCCAGCAAACAGTAGGTGCTCAATATATGCACTTCACCAGTATTCCCTGTTGTCCAAGCAGATCAAGCTTTTTCTGGTCTCCCAGCTTCCATCTGTGCAGTTATTTCTACATAGAATGCCCTTTCTTCTCCTTCTTTTCTGGTGAACTCCTATTTACCCTTCACAGCCCAGTTCACAAAATCCCGTGTTCTGAAGAACTTTGCCTGTCATCCACAGGCTGAACTCTTAACTCCTCAAACTGGGTTTCCCTAGCCCTAGTTGGGTCCCTTCCTCTGCCCCAGCCCTGGCTTTGAACGTTAGAAGTGTCTGGGCAGGTACTGTCTTCCTGAACAGTGAGGGGCTCCTGGGGGCCAGGCCCAGAGCTGAGGCCCCTTAGCACAAAGGCACGGTTCTTGGATAATCGGAGAAGATTATCTGCAGCCAAGTCCCCTTACATCAGGCTGGCATCTGTGTGAGGGAGAACATGGAGGCAAGTCACCCCAGGGGAGCAGAGGTCTGGGGTGATGTCTGTATACATGTATATGCACCTGTCCGTCCACCCGGGCCTGTGACGTGTTCTTTGCGTGTACAGGGATCGAGAGCAGGCAGACACATTTCAAGGTGTGTGGCTACGGATTCCTTCCTATTTTGAGTCGGATTCCTACGAAGACCTGTCCATCACCTGTCCAACCTGCCTGTGAATTCTCAAAACTATCCTTCCTTCCACCTGTCTGTTCATTCATCTATTCACCTGTGCATCCATCCTCCTACCCAAGCATGTACACAGCCATCTGCTGGCTACCAGCCACCAACTCACCTTCTCATGGTTCTTCATGACCCTTCAACCATACTTCATCCACCACTCACCCACCATCCAACCACCCACCCACTTACATATTGAACAACCACCCACCCACCCAGCCAGCCACCTCTACATCCAACACCCACCTCTACATCCAACACTCACCCATCCATCCACCTACCCACCTACCTACACATCCAACACCCACCTCTACATCCAACACTCACCCATGCAACACCCACCCATCCACCCACCCTACCGTGCATTCATCCATTCATCCTTCCATCTACCCACCCATCTATCTACTGACCACCCATTCATCCACCCACCCCTCCACCAATCAACATACCCATTCACTTAGCACTCACCCTACCCTTTTTCTTCCACCTCTGTCTCAATCACACCCAGAGCAGAGTGCAATAAGACACCCAAGAGCAGTCCACAGGTTGGCTGGGCAGGAGGGGATCCATGGGCTTGGGGGATGGGAGTAGCTTCCTGGAAGAGGTGATGATATATAAAGGAGGGCCTGATGGCCAGGCAGGATGCTGAGAGGGGCAGCAGCAGTTAAAGAGGGTATGTACCCTAGACAGCGCAAAGGCTGGGAAGTGGGAAGTGCGTGCATGAGTGTGTGTGTGTGTGTGTGTGAGAGAGAGAGAGAGAGAGAGGGTGCTGGGAAGTTCCTCAGTGTAGCTGGGACATACGTGGGCCTCTCCTTGCTCCCACACACCAGGGCTCAGAGGCAAGGGGCTGAGGCCCTAACCAGCGCCTCCATCCCAGCCTTCCCTCACTTCCTCCTCTCCTACCTCTTGCAACTCCAGTGACTCTAGCACCAGGCCTCCTCGCCCACTGCCGGCTCCAGTTACCTGCTCCCAGCTGGGCCACCAGCTCACACCGGCAGCTCCAAGCGCTCAGCTCAGACACCCGCTCAGCTCAGACACCCGATCAGCTCGGAGAGGGCAGCCGCCCCAGGGGGCCGGGGATGAGCAGAGGGAGGAGACAGGCTGGCCGCGGGGCTGCCTGCTGGCCAACGAGCTCTGGCAGGAAGACACCAGCTCTCTTCCACCACCCTCTACCTCTCTTCCTGGCCTCTGCGCTTGCTGTTTCTCCACCAGGAACGCCCCTTCTGTACCCCATGTCACTCCCAACAGGCTCACTCTCCCCATCTCATTCCTACTCACTCTTCGGATCTTTGCTGCAACACCCCCTCCTCCAGGAAGCCTTCCCGGATGCACCCAGGCTGGGTCAGGTGCCTCCTCTGAGCTCCCAATGGCCCGGTGCCCTCATGGCACCTGAATCACACTAAGTCACCATCTCCCGGTCACCGCTCTGTGTCCACCTCGCGCCACAAGGTGCCACCTTTGTTCTCCAGTGTCGTGT